TTCTGCTCCACCCGTCTTCGTCGTCAGTTGTTCCCATCTCGTTTTGTTTTCACATTATTATTATTATTCACGCACCTCGTACGTTGCGGTGTTGGGTTCAAATCCCTCTCCTGACCAGCGCCGCCACCGCATGCCTGGGTCGGGTGGACAAAGACGGCGGAGTGGTGGAGACGGGTATGACGCAGAGGGACGTCTTTGATCAGGGGTGCTGACGTTGACTCCGCCGTCCTCCACCGGGGGAGCTCTCGGGAAAGGGTGGTTTCCCGAGACCTCCACCCCTCTGGTGGTTTGCTCTGAACACACGTGTATCGTATTTGATGACGCTCGGCGACCTGAACCAGGCCCTGAACCACGTCTTTGGTGTCAGAGTCGATGATTAGAGTACAGTTGTCACCAGACTCACCCAGGGTCGGGGGAGTCGGGGGGGAGTACACAAGTACACCAAGTCTGTCTGATTATTAGAAGCGTGAAGTACATGTCGGAGAGTAATACTGGAAAAATACACGAGCTGACACACGGTTGGTCGATCCTGAACGACAACAACAAACAAAAACAAAAAGATGGTAAAAAAAACCCCAAAAAAAACACTGTTTGGACGTCGTTAAATGTCAGTCCTCCAGGGGGGGCTGTGCACCGGCGACAGAATCTGGCGATACAATACGTATTGCGGCACAGGGGTGGCGATACGATATATTGCGATACTATGGGTACGACGATATATTCGGCCTCTGCTGCTGTTCCATCGGAACGTCAAGTTACTAACTTTGGAAGAGAGGGATCTAAGTTTGGACGAAATATCGCGATATTTCAGTGTACTGACATCCGTGAAGATCCTCAGTCGCCCAGGTCATGTTATCTAAAGAGTTTCGTTGCAAACAACTGGACTTTTTCTTGGAGAGATTTCGTTCCTCAACTTTGGAGCTTCGTCAATTTCTGGATGATGTAAGAAGGAAGTTTTTGAAACATGATGACATCATCATCATCATCATCATCATCATCGTCATGTGACTGGAGACCGGGTTGAATTTAATCACATTTTACAACTGATCCGTTTTAACGCGCGGCACCAGTGTGTTCCGCTAATTGACTATTAAGTGAATAAAAAGTATATGAGCGGTTCCAGGAAACTGTTGGCTCCGTTGCCGTTGTTGCCGTTGCTGCTGCGTCAGAGCCAGAACTCCGGTCGGTTCTCAGCTTCTCACACGTGCGCAATTCAGAATGATTATGTTTCCAACTAAATTGGAGGGTGGTTAAAGAGAGAGAGGGCTCTGCCCAGAACCACCCACCCTCTCTCGCTCTCTCTCTCTCTCTCTGCCCACTGCCCAACCCCCCCGCCCCCCCTCCGGAGTCTCACTGGGAGGGTTGTTACAGAGCTGGCTGTGTTTTCTTTGTGTGGCCAGGGCTTTGCTATCACATTACTGCACACATGCTGATGTTGCAGTTCCAGCAGCCCCCACTCTGTGGCTTCGCGCCCCCGGCTCCCCCCCGGTGGTCCGCCCCGGCTCTTCTCACGGAGTCACACTACTATGTCGTCAAACGAGTCACTGTTGGAATGACAGTGGAGTTTTTAAATAATTAAAAACAAAAAACAAAGTCTGACTCTGAGTTTAGTTTATCTTGGACCGCAGGAACCAGAACCGATTAATCATCGGTCGGTTTAAATCAAACGTATCGGTCGACTGTTCCGTTGACGATAAAGTCTTGTCCGCGTATAAAAGAGAGCACTTGTGAAGTGAGAACAACTCTCGGCAGAGCGTTCTTCGACCTCTCCTTCGAGTCCGTCTTCACTTCCTGTCCACTCATTTCCTTCACTTCCTTGTTTACCCTCCGTCCTCCGGACCAACCCTTATCTCCCTCCTTACCCTCCAATCTTTTTCCTTTACCACTCACCGCCAACCTCATGTTTCATGTTTCTGGCCTGACTTACGTGGAGCGTGGCCCACCTCACGTCACCTGTCGGTAATCGGGAGTGGATTTTGATGTGACGTGGTTCGGGTTTTCACCTGGGGACGTTCCTCTCTGTCCACTGAAGTGAACGATAAGGAGGTCCTTGGTCTCTCGTGTCCTCTCTCTCTCTCTCTCCGCCTACAGTATACAGACTGCGACGACGCAGTGACTCAGGGAAGATAACCGGGTCCACGAAAAGGCCAAGTATTGTTGTTCACGGCCGGGCTAGACGAATGCAAGTAATGGCGTGGTGTAGGGCAGAGAGAGAGAGAGAGAGAGAGAGACATCGCTCTCTGTCCATCGCTGTATGGACGTCTGGGGGGTCGCCAAAGGTCAGAGCACAAAAGTATGCCCTCAGCAGGATGGAGGAGCCGTGGGAGTGTTCCGCAGCTGTCTCCGGAATTCAAATCGTCTCGAGAGTTATTTCTCACTCGATAAAAAAAAAAAAACCTCACCCCCTTCCTCACCCCACCCCCCTCCTTTTGCCTTTCGGAAACACCTGTTGACAAGTTCTTCCCACGTTTCGACACCTGAACGTCTCCTAGCCTACGTAGAGACCTGACATCTGGGGTTAATAGTGGGTCACAACTGCCATATACCGCCACCTACTGTACTGGATCTTTTTTTTTATATCAACCGATGCAAAATGTCACGGATTTGCGACGGTTTTTACCGATTCGCGATGCATCGTTACATCCCTACTGGCGTTTTGTTGACCAAATGTTTTCCTTACTCCTCGGTAAAAAAGTTTGACGCTGTTTACATTTATATTTACACGTAATACATCCGACAGGTCTTTAAATGTGTTGTTAGCACCACCTAAAGGGCAGGGAAGGGTACTGCTGCACTAGTGTGTGTAGTAGTGTCATGGTACGATTGTGCGAATAATTATTGTTTCAACCGCTGCAACCGATGCACGATACGTCCACGTTACATCCTTACGTGTAACTGTTGTGACATTTGTGTTTGGTGGGGCATTTTGGGAGTTTTTCTTCATGTTAAATACGTGCCGTGCTTCATTAGAGGTCGGGAAACACTGGTGTAAAGTCACCTGACGAGAAGTCTCTCCGTAGACCGACAGATCCCCCGATCCTGGAGACGTCAAATACGAGTAACTAGGAGTGAAGTTGATCAACGAATATGAGCAACATCTCACTGCGCGCCGTCAGCTGAACCCAAACATCCTGGTGCAGCTGTGTCGACCATTCCAGGGCAGATTTTCTGAAGTGCTCTGATGTGTATTCACCGCCAAATTCCAGCAAAACCCGAGGCTGGAAATTGCCTCCGAATTTGCCCTATTTCGATGGGAGCGAGATTGTTTCTGTTCAGACGGCCGTGCAGCCCGTTGCATCACAGATGAGAGGGTGCAGGGGAACGAGAGAACACCCACGGTGACGGGAACTAAACGTGCGTGGCTGTTGGAGAGGATTGACCAGGCCAACTTGGGAGCGTGGACCACGAAGGGTCCGTGGGGAAGAGATAATTTCCGGGGGGGGTTTTTTGGGTCAGAGATTAAGTGTTTCTAGCTCAGGGAGTCCCAACCTCTGGGGCGTGGCACATCAGCTGTGATGTAAGAGATCGTCAGGTTGACCGTGGAAAATGTCGCAATTTCACTAAATTGGCTTGAAAACTTGCGAATCAGTCGTCAGGCAGAACAATGAAAATTTCTTTTTTTTTCTTTCTTCAATTCCTGCGACTACATCAGCGCCGTGTTCAACTAAAGATTTCTCACTACTGATGCACGGATTTCTCTAATGTAACACGTGCTCAGGCTCAAGAAAAGTCCGAGAAACACTGACCGACACCGAGACTGACGGAACCACCGACTCCCAATCGTCCAATCAGCATCCGGTGACCACGGTGGAGGGAGTCCGCTCAGTGCTGCCCCCTAGTGATGTCCAACGAAGCTGAGCTTCGACAGGGTTTAAACAGTACCCAGGAAGGTACCTGTGATTAACTAATCATGTAGTTCACATGTGTCAAACATGTGGCCCGTGGCCCAAATGCAGCCCGCCAAGTCATTTTGTGTGAATTTAAAAAAAAAAAATTATTTACTGAATTACGAAGTGAAGTAGCAGTACTCAGTTCATCAGTACTCCGTACTGTTCTGTAGTACTCCTCCTCCTCTTCCTTCTTTCCCGATCGTCCCGACTCCTCATTTTGAACCCGTGTCAGAGGTTGCTCTCCCGGAGTCAGCGATCTGGTTGGTGGCACTTTATGCTTTTTTTTGTACAAATTACCCCGACCACGAGCCCCGTAATGACCCCTGGGGGGCCCCCTACCCCCCCGCCCCCCACCTCTTCTGTTGGGGCCCTTGTTCAAAATGGTCAATGTGTGTGTGAGTCCTGCTGTGATGTTGCTGCAGGAGCAGGATGGAGGCGCACACATGCTGCAGCGACACGCACACCACAAACAAACGCGCATGCGCATCGCCGAGTGAAGCTCTCTCACACAGACAGTAGCTGCAGCCTCTCCCATGTGTCCTCTTGGCCGACACCGACTCCCAATCGTCCAATCAGCATCCGGCTTTGTGGTGGAAGGAGTCTGCTCAGTGCTGCCCCCTAGTGAGGTCCAACGAAGCTGAGCTTCGACAGGGTTTAAACTATACCCAGGAAGGTACCTGTGATCAACTAATCATGTAGTTCATGTTGTCACATGAACTACATTACGTTGCATGTGGCCCAAATGCAGCCCGCCAAGTCATTTTGTGTGAATTTTTTTTTAATTTAATTTACTGAATTATGAAGTGAAGTAGCAGTACTCAGATCATCAGTACTCCATACTGTTCTGTAGTACTGATTCCTCCTCCTGCACCTCCTTCTTTCCCGATCGGCCCGACTCCTCATTTTAAACCCCGTGTCAGAGGTTGCTCTCCCGGAGTCACTGACTGGTTGGTGGCACTTTATGCTCTTTTTTTGTACAAATTACCCTGACCACGAGCCCCGTAATGACCCCTGGGGAGCCCCCTACCCCTCGGCCCTTCACTCTTGTGTTGGGGCCCTTGTTCAAAATGGTCAATGTGTGTGTGTGTCCTGCTGTGATGCGTGCTGCAGGAGCAGGATGGAGGCGCACACATGCTGCAGCGACACGCACACCACAAACAAACGCGCATGCGCATCGCCGAGTGAAGCTCTCTCACACAGACAGTAGCTGCAGCCTCTCCCATGTGTCTTTTTGGTGCGTATTCCAGAAACTTCTGTCCGCTCCAACACACACACACTCACACACACATCCAGAGGTTTGTGTCTTCAATGGAATAAATCCCCCTCTCTCTCTCTCTCTCTCTCCCTTCTCCTCTTTCTCCGCCTCCTCCTCCGGTTTCCTGTTACAGCCCTGGGAGGGAGTTGAACCGTTCGCGTGGAGACGGACGGAGCGAACGGATCTCATGGAGGAAAAGCAGAGACGAGGAGACAAACAGAGACACACTGGAGGACGCTGAGACGCCGAGGACGATGTGGATTCGAACCGTCCGCGCTCTGGAATCTTTTTAACTCAAGTCCCGGGGAGAGAGGAGAGACCGGGAGAGCGACGGAGGAGAGGGTCAGGAGCGGAAACTGGGGGTTGTTTTTTTTTGTTTTGTGGTCGGAGGCAAATGGAGAGGAGACCGTAAGAGAGACGGTTTCACCATCTTCACAGGAAACTAACGGTAAGACTCGGTTCGAAAATGGAACGATTGAAGTGCGGAACGGGGAGGGAACAAAGAGAACAGTCGGGGAAAATCAACAGTCCGAGGGGAAAAAGTCAGAAAACAGTCAGAAAAAGCGACAATATGAAGGAAAGGAAAAACAAATTCGGTATCGGAGGAATCGGATCGGTGATTTGTCCAACTGTTGCCATGAATCAGTGTGTGTGTGTGATGTGTGTGTGTGTTTCCATCTCCACCTCGGTCCAACCCAGTCCGCTCCACTGCTTTGTTTAAAAACACATTTGCTGCATGTTGTTGCACCGGGGGCTAAATCTGGGGCAACTTTTGTCTGCGTTGCGCCGACGCACGCACTGCGGTCGGAGTCTGTGATGTCCAGTCTGTCCAGTTGTCCGTCTGTCCGTCCTCCGGGCAGAACACTTTGTATATCCCAAACGCTAATTACACCATGGAGGTCAGAGGTCACACCCACGCTCACCCAGGGCCACATCAGCATCATGGCAGTAACTGAGTAAAGTAAAAAAACTAACTGATGAGTTGACTTTAAGAAAAAAAAAACAAAAAAAAACTTTCAAACTTCTGAAGTCGGACTTATCGCCTCCTCCGAGAAAAGTCCGACTTTTTTATCGTTTTGTAGTTTGCGTTCATCGGCGTTCACCAGACTGAACTGGCGGAAAATCTCTGCAGTTGTAGTCGTGGAACGAAGTTGACGGAACCCCGATCAACTGGTCCGCTCCACTGTCGGACGGCAACGAAGTTACTGGGATGTGGGTCGTTCGGTACTGGACTGTGAGTCGTTCGGTGCTGGGATGGGGGTGGTTTGGTCCTGGGTGGGGGTTTTGCCCCACAAACACCCAGATATTAAACAAATGATGCCCCCCCCCTGCCCCCCCCCCCACTGCCCCCCCAGTTGACGTGGAAACAGAGCTGTTCCACGGTGACAACGGTTCCAGGAGATGGAACTGATTTTCCTCCTTCATGCTGAATTTTTTTTTGTGTGTGTGTGTGTTAGCGTTAACGGACTAAGTGTTAGCGTTAGCAGTTGTTGCGATGTCTAAGAAGGGAGCGAGGGGGGGTTGGCGGGGAAGGGGGGGTGACTGGTGTGTTTTTCCACTTTTCTGTCAGTTGACTGTGGAGGTTCTTCACAGGACAGTAAGTACGGCAGGAGACTGCAGGGGGAGACGGGGAGACGGGGTAGAGAGAGAGAGAGAGTGCTGCAGTGGTGATCACGGCTCGGCGCGCAGCGGCCTCCGTCCTCCGCCTCTCAATCCACGCGG